TTGAAAACATGAATCCAGAAAGCTTCTAGTTTCTTATCCAGTCTGTTCATACTTGATTCTGTGATTCAGTAGAAGCAGTGCCAGAAGCCAGTCTGGGAGTACTGTAGTAGAAATGCAAGAATTCCTGACGCTTCTCAGTTACTATTTAATCTGTTACTTTTAGGTGGGCTTTTTTGATCAAGTGGCCGTGCCAGGTTGGCCTCAGATTGTGTGTCTGGCAATTTCCGAGGTCCGCACGCCATCTGAGGTGGGCAGTCCAGAGCCAATTGAAGCGAATGACAAGGCAAGTGTCAAAGAGGTGTGCGACCCAGCCTTTCTGCTCTAGGAACTGCTTACGGACCCAGGCGATTCCTGTTTTCCGACTGTAAACACTAAGTCTCATGGTTTGTGTGGCGGAGCGTGATTTAATGATTTAAGCAGGTGTCACAAAAAACTTTTTGGTGGGCTGCAAGAGTGGTTGGTTCACTTGGTTTGCTTTCGGCCGCTGAAGGGGTTCTTTGAAACTTTTTAAAGCTTGTGACACGACCTACTTCGAAGCGACACCAAAAGATACTTGGAAGGCCATTTGGGACTCGAGTCTAATTCATGCACCAATTCATGCCGGGTGAGAGCAATCTGAAGGAAAATGCCCGATCACCCGAGCGTCGGGAGAACTCTCGTCCGCCCCTGCGGGAAGTCCAACTGGCCAACGTGGAAGCTGAGCTGAAGCAGATTTGCTCGACCTCTTTGGAGGCGTCCTTTGGTGATTTCTTGTCGTTCGAGAGTGGAATGTGCTCCACTTCCGAGCCTTCAAAGTGGAATAAGGATGAAGAAGGGAAGATACCATCATGTCAACACACCAAAAAGGCATCCGAATGGAAATGACAAATCATACAGTACAATATTACACAATACAATATAATGTAACATGAACAGGTTACGAAAGCCAGCCGACAGAGTCCTCGATGGGCGAACGAAGTGAGTAATAGGGGTGTGAGGCGGGGTGGTTGCAAATCTGGTCCGTGAACCCAGAGCCTGGCGAGGGAGAGCGAGTGTTTTTAGGGGTCTGGTGATGCGAGTGATGCAAATGACGCTGAAAAGAGCATGATTAGCATCACAAAGTCTTCAGGAGACTATTTTGGATAGTCTATTGATGAGGTGTGCAAGTCCGGGTAGAGAGGGGAGACTGCGTCGTGACAGGAAATGCGACAAACAAGGTCAAGGTAGAAGCAGCGAAGGGGGTGATTGATCTCAGCACGGAAGTTCCCTCCACAAGAATGCCCCACAGAAGCAGATGTAAAGACACGGTGTTTACTTTGCATGGTGGAACTCTGGAATCCTATGGAGCCCTGTGCAGTCGCGGAATCGGATCGGACTTTACACCCTTGCCGGAGTGAAAAGGAATCGACTCCTTCAGTTCTTCGACGTGGCCAATAAGTGAACTCCATGCCCCTTCGCAGTCCACAATGCCACACAACACGTCGAAGAAGCGTCTCTCGACCATGGCGTGTCGCGCTGAAGACATCACTAGGTCTCAGTTCCAGCTTTGTCGAACACTTGGTCAGCCGGACTCGCAAAGGCCCCCCGAATATGCCCACCAGAATGGCAAGCCTGCCTGGATGTTGGAAGTTGTATTGCACATGCCTGACCACTCTCTTCTCATTTAAGCTGTGGTCGCCTTTCGGAAGTATGACCACGAGGAGTGGCCAGCCAGAGGCACAATCTCCGTGGTCAGAACTTTGACTGTGGCTGAGGATTGGGGGAAACAACCAGAGTAAGCGCACCCCTCCAGCACTGTGAATGTCCTACTGAGTTCGACCTTTGTACAAATAGGGGTTCCTCAAGGCCTTGTGTATGTAGGCCCTATCATATCAAGCCTCAATGCGAAACTTTGTGCCTCTCTGCCTTCTACTTTCCCGTGGCCAACGCCACTAAAAGTAGGTGCGACTTCACCCTATGACAAATATTTTATATATTTTCTGAAGCTGGCTTTCGTCCCCTCCCTTCTCAGGTGTATCTTTTCAATACAGTTTTCTTTCCTTCCAAGACGACCGTATTCTTTTTCGTGACCGATTTTGTGCCGAAGCGCCAAGTGGGACTTTCAAACACCTAACAAGCTTCTTGTTAGTAGTAATGGCCTCCACCCTAGTAGCCCTCCACCGTGCATAGCGTCCTTGGAACATAGCGAAGTGACCTCGAAGGCAGAGACCTCGAAGCGCCGAAGCCGTTGGGCCGCGGACATCGAGTTTCGCCTCTCGCTCTTCGAGGCCGAGGACGCGGTGCTGCCGGCGTCACGTGGTGCGCCGGTGCTGCCGGTGCTCGGTATGGAGCAGGTGAGGATGGATGATCTGAAGGAGGAAGTGAAGGAAGTGAAGGAAGTGAAGGAAGTGAAGGAAGTGAAGGAAGGCGGTATCTGTGAGACATCGGAAACAGATGCAGATGGGGAAGCAGCCGCGATTGAAACACTGGGATCTGAGGAGCAGATCCATATGGAATCTCCAGAGGTTGAAAGTGAGTTGGACTTACCAATTCCACGAAATACCGGGGAGACCTCAGACTCAGATTGGCCGACGCCGCCAGACAGCCCCATCCAAAGTGCTTTTAGCTTTGCCAAGAGCTTTGAATGTCCAAAGATGACTCCGTCTGTGCATTCCGTTTTCGAGGTGGATACGATTTCCTTTAGCTCAGAGGCTTCGCACAGTTCAAGTCCCAAAGCCCTTCCTCCGGCACTCACCGAGCGCAGCGAGCGCAACGAGCGCAGCTCGCACTGCGCAGCTCGCTGTGAAGCTCCATCATTCTCGACGGATGTCGCCGTGAAGCGAGGCAAGTCGGTGTCGCCGGTGAAGAGGTTGGAAGCCTTGCCATCATGGAGTTTTGACACTTTGAGAGGCGAGCTGAACACCTTCCAAAGGTCTTTGCTGCGAGAACAAGAGAGAACAGAGAAACTGTCCAAGCTGAACCAGCAGCTTCAGCAGCTTCAGCTTCCATCGCCAAGTCGGTCGAGATGCCAAAGTCCGAGCTTGAAAAGATCACGGTCAGGCCCAATCCAGGCAGCGTCTTTCTGAGCCAAAGATTCGGCGTTTTCAGAACACCTTTTGAATCTTCTTCAAATAAGCTTTAAGCGAGTGGTAATCCTACTCATAACATTTCCTGAGATAGATACTTACGAAACAAAAAAGACCAAGCTTTTGTTTGATCCGCTGGTGGCAAACATCTGCAGCTTCTTGGAGAGCAATCAGGAACCCAGCCCTCCCAGGCATAACACCGCTTTCTGGGTGCCCTTCTTGGAAGGGAGTCATAGGGAGTCAACTCGTAGCAAGAAGCTACTAGTAACAAAGGGCATCCCTACTAGGAGCAAGGACGCTACTAGGGGCGCTCCTGGCCTTAGCAAGTGAGGGTTTCACAAGGTCTTTGGACCTAGCCAGGTCCACACTCGCAGTGAAGCTTGGATGGAGAGGAGGAAAGAGCGGCATTACGCTCTCAGAGAAGAAAAAAGAAGAGAGGAGCCACTAAAAGACCAACTTTTTTTGTTTTGTGTTGGACCATTTGAGCATTCATTTTTAAATCTCCCGTTTAAAGTTGAAAGTCAGTGGTCTTTGCATTTGTGAGGAGCAGCGAGAATGCACGTTCCAACCTTTCGGGGTGTCGAAGCCGCGATCACCTCGAGTCCAGCAAGACTTCTACAATCGGCAGGTGCAATGGCAGCAACTGCTGCATGAGAAGTGGGACCAGGAACGCCAGCGACAGCGCCAGTGTCAAGAGTTGGAAGAGAACCAAGGCGACGGCTCCAAACCGTTTGACGGAGCATGGGGCGACCTGGTTCGGTGTTGGTTTGGTGGAAATATATATATATGTTGAAAAAACATGTTCGATTAAGAAGCTTTTAGGTTGGAGGCCATCGCTAGTAGGTCAATTGAGGGGGTCCAACCATCAGACGTTGCTCAGGTGGTGTTCGCGATCGTCCAGACGCCAGCGGCCAAAGCGCCTTCGAGCGTTTCCACCAGCGAAACCAGCAGTGGCAGAAAGCGCATGCCGAGCGAGCGGCCCGAGCGCAAGCGAGAGCACAAAGTGCCACACCCAGGATGCGCCGAGGTGAACCGAACGACGAACGTCGACCACGGCGACACGTCTTCGACGCATGTCTCGTTGCGTCCTCTTCGGCCGTGCGACACGGCCCCACGACGCAGGGAACGGCCGTGGGTGTTCCGCCGTCCGAGCGGCGGACGTCCGAGCGGAGCCAAGTCTTCCATCACCTGCTGCAGTTGCGACGTGCGCTGGTGGAGTCCAAGCCGAAAGCTGCGGTCGGCACCGCGCCCTGGCAGAAAGCTCTTCGGGTGGAGGTGGCTCGGTCACAAGGTGCCGGAGCTGCCCCGAAGCATTAAAGGCCGCGTTAGTCTGGGAAAAAGAACAGGCTGCGAAGCGGTCGACCGCTGGCGGTGTTGCATCCACTCGTGTCTGCATAGCCAAGCAAGATCTAATGTTTTTGTCGCAAGAGGCAAGTGGAGTTCAACACTCGCCCGAACACCCACGCTGTGCCACCCTTAGGTGCAAGCGCATCAGATGCCGCCCGAGGTGGGAAACGCGTGGTGCGGTGGCGTTGTGATGCGTCGTGTGTTTCTTTAGGTCGAAGCGGTCACCTCAGAGTCAACTGGAGTGCCAAATGGGATAAATTTCCTGCCTGCATGTCGAACAAGGCTGAAAAGATGTCAAGCAGTGCAGGACAAGTCCGCTCGATGTCCTTGTAGTGCATGTGAACATGTCCGCTCGATTCAGCTTGACGCCTTCGGTACGTCCTCCTAGTGCCACACATTTTTGCTCTCCGAATGGAAGATGCGAACTCCATAATGTCGGGGGGACTGAACTTAAAGATGTTGTTAGTAGCGTCCCTTGCTCCTAGTACGGCCAGGAACCCCGTTTGTAGTGTCCTTGCTCCGTTCGCAGCGATGCCAGGAGCCCCGTTCGTAGCTTCTCGGGACTGAACTTCGCCAAAATAACACGTGCCCCTTTTGCATCAACCTTGTCAAATCACCGATTGATCTTGCTCGACTGGCAAAGGACACTTGGACGCGCCTCTGCAGATGGCTCGAGCAAAGACTACAGTCAAAGGCAAGAATGGTGCATTCTAGGCTTTCAGGCCACTGTCTCACTGGGTCATGCCTAGATTCTTTTCTTTTGTGGCTGAGGAGATTCCTTTTCTTCAAGTAAGTAGATTTACATAGAATTACCGCCTTGACCTTTGTGATCAAAGAGCCTGCCTGGCATCAGTCATGCGGGGGCTGTTTGCTCTGTGGGCCCGGTGGCGTCCGAGGAAGGTCTCGACACGAGATCCAAGCGGGATTGGAGATGAGATGAAGCTGGGGCAGAAATCCTGAGACAAAATCTGTTTGTAAAAGGTTTTTGTACAGCTTTGGCCATCCAAATCTGGCATTCATTCTGCGATTTTCCCTTCAAAGACATGTTTGGATGCATATTCTTTCAACATCTAACATCTATCAAAGACATTCCACGTGAGAAACCTATCGTCAGGGCGTGTACGGACTGCTCCCTCCACCAGCTTGATCGTGGCTTTGCTGCTCCTCCAAGAGCGCGCCCACGCGTCAGTGCAGACGAGCTCCTGCCTCCAGCGCCCACAGCCCTGGACCTTCCAGCGACGACCCTTCAGCCACCAGTGCCAGCCTCGCTGCCTCCGACCAAGCTGCTAGTGCCCCCTCCGAGCGCACATCGTGATCGTCCACGTGATGCCAAGAGAAAGAGAGAACAAGCAGAACACGATGCCGAGCGACGGGTTTGGTCGGCCGACTCCTGGCTGTTGAACTGGAAGACCTGTGATGCTCGAGGTCCGAGGGCCCGGAGACGGCGATTCATCCATCCCTCCGGGGTGGATCCGGCGCAAGCGGAGGCCATAGCACTGCAGAAAGCATGGGCGTTCAGGGACAAGTTGGTGAGGCAGCATGTGTTGAAACCCGAGAGTCCAACAGTGCCAGGGGTGAAGTGGGACGCCGAGAAGAAGGCGTGGCGTGTGCAGTTCACGCTGCGCAAGACCATCCTCCTCTCTTTGAAGAAGCAGTTTCAGTTTCGGAGACAATCCATCCAATACATCACTGGAGGTCTCTTCGCCAAGAAGAAGTATGCAGAACGTGAGGCCTTGAGGCTGGCGAGAAAATACCACCTGACTCGCTTGGCGAAGAGCGTCAGCCGCCTCCGATGGAACGAGCCGAAGATGGCACCGATCCACCAGAGGGGGGGCACCACCTGGAAGTTGCCACGCCGAAACTTGCCATCACGCACCGGGCCACTTCATGAAAACTTCTTCCTCAGAGGTGGTTGAAGAAGTTGTTGCCAGAGATCGCCAGTGGCGGAGACGGTGGAGACCCAGATGATTTGTATGATGAATTGCATGATTTGCTTGGGCTTGCCCTTAGCTTGGTCATGTCCACGGGCTTTATGGGCAGAGACCGACAGCTAGCACGCAACCAAGAGTAATTTGTGATACATTGAGAGATCTGTGGTGAAAAAGGCTGGTGCCTGAGTTAGCTCGCGGCTGCTTGGTGAATTCTCAAAGGCCGTCAACCGACATGTGTTTCATCCTACTGGGGGTTCAAACGAAGCCCTTCCAGGGCCAGCCGAAAGCATGAAGCAGATGTCACCAGCCAAAGCCGGGTTGTTGGATTCGATAGAGTTCTCACTTCTTGGTTTGGTTTGTGGTGCCCCGTTTGGGGTGGCGGTGCCTTTGGGCCTTTCTTGCCTCCCATCCGATCCCACTTTCCTGTCAGGCAGCCCGTCCAGTGGACCGGCGCGGATTGAGGCGCCGAGCAAAATGATCAAAATGATCGCGACAACAGGAACAGCATTCTCACATATTCTCATGATGTCAAAGCTATTGTTCCGAAAGTTGACTGAACCCCTCTGTGGAGACCATGATCCACTGGTTTTGGTGATGTTAGACCCATCCCCTACCAACCATGCCTGCTTGATTCCGCAGCTGGGAGGTATGCACGGTTCCGTGCCAAGCAGGAAAAAGACCTGGAGGAAGTCAATGATTTCCCTGCCATGGCGGGGGATGGGCCTTGGGCGGTGGGGGCGGAGAACATGGTGAAGCCCACCATTCCTTCAATCTCCTCCAAGTTCGGATGTCCATGCTGAATGGTAGAAAGCCGAGATTCTGAGAAGGGTTTCTTATAAGCCTTGAAAGTTTCCACGTGCAGGAGTTGTTTCATCCAAAAGTTGTGGCGTTCATGTGCGACAAGCGTTTCCCACAACAATTGCAGAGAAGCACTGCCATGACATGCGTTCGTGTGCCGCGTCGAGTGACGGAACAGAACACCGACTGAATACCGTGGGAACGAGAGAGATTGGCACAAAAACCAGCCGCTAGTAGGTTGGAAGCCGCTAGAAACCAAGGAAGAAAGGTAGAAAGGTTTGAACGGTAAACGTCTCACCTTTTTTCTTCGACCATAGAGCAGGAGCAAGAGACCGAGAAGCGACCTCGGTTGTGTGGAGTCCGAGTGAGCCAGGTGAAAATGCTGGAAGACCGTGCACAGAACGTGATCAAGAAAAGCAAGAGGCTCGCCTGGGCCACTTTTCGCTGTGTTTGTGGGAGAACAGAACGTGTCAAAAAGACTAGTAGCTTCTTGTTCCTAGGAGTAAGGCCAGGAGCTACTAGTAGCGTTCTTGCTCCTAGTAGCGATGCCCTTTGTTACTAGTAGCCTTCTTGCTCCTAGTAAAATCAGAAACACTAGTGACTAGATGTGACCGGTGGCTTTGCTTTGGGGAAGAGTGGAAGACACGGTGTTGGTGGACTTGTTGACCAACATTGCCTTTTGGATCACCGACAAAACGGCGGCTTTCCTCAACATCGAGGGAACTCACTCGCCAGAGCAGCTTGGGCGTGTCCATTTTCCGGACGATTGCTGTGGGACAATTCGTTTCGAAAGTCGGTGCAGCATCGAATCAGTTGACTTGCAGGATTTACGATCTGGACTAATCTAGATGGTTCACTCAAGGGAAGGCCTAATTTAAGTCAACCCTCCCACAAAGAAGAAATTACCACCAAAGCTCCGATGGTTCGTTCTGTTCTGATCATTCTTGTATGACGTTAACTCCTTGCCGCCTTCCAAGCCTTCCACCCGCCCGCCTTGTGCGCTCGTTGCTATGGCGCTAGCCTTGTGGCTGTCGTTGGGGGGATTTCTCGATGGTGCAGGGGTTGTGGCTGCGCCAGCGGCTGCGCCAGCTGCCATCCCTCAAAAGATCTTCACCTTTTGGGAGACCCCGCCGTGGCCTCCTTCGGTCCAGCGGTCCATTGACACCTGGCGCAAGCAGAATCCTGAGTGGCAAATTCAGGTGAGGGAACTGGACCGGAGTATCGGTACAGATGGCACTTGAGAGGTTCGTTAGACTATCCAGCAAATCGCTGAGTCATTTGGATTTGTGATTTGTTCGATTTATTGTTGGACTCTCTTCAGATGGAACAGACCAGTTTTTGTGTCATTAAGCCACGAATTGGTCATTCGTGACACGTTCTCCTCATTTTCTTCGCTTTGTTCCAGACCATTCGTCTTCCGTTTTTACTGCTAGTAACAAGGGCATTACTACTAGTAGCTTCTTGTTACCTAGTAGCGATGGCCTCCACCCTAGTAGCTTCTTGCAACTTGACTCCGAAGACCCAAAGGTCTTGCAACTTGACGTCCCGACGCCTTCACCGCCGTCGCCAGGTCTTGACGCCTTCGACGCTGCGCGAGGCCTTGGACGACGAGGCCTTGGACTTCGTCGCCTCGCCCGCGGCGCTGGCCATGCGGCGCCTGGGAGCCACACACTTCAGCGACCTCGTGAGGGTGGAGGTGCGGACCCACACAGCGTTTGAAAGAGGTGCCTTTACAGTGCTTGAAAACATGGAGGTGCAACCATGGTATAACAATGTATAACATGTCTTGGGTTCTGCCACAGCCAGTTAAGCTACAGTATATTAAGCTAGGAAATCTAGGGCGGGAACATTTGCTAAGGAATGGGGGTTCGGCGAAATCGCATTTCAGGTCTTGGCACAGCACGGTGGCCTTTGGCTGGATGCCACGGTGGCTTTGACCCAGCCAGTGAACACTTGGATCGGACGTGACAACCGCGGCGAAGAGTGTTTGGAGGGCTTCGATTTGGACTTTGAGCAATTGGAGGCTTCAGATTTGATTCAAATATGTGCGATGACACGATGAGTTGCGGCTTTTGACAGAAGATGTGTGATGACTTTGGATGATTGGATGCCATAGGATAGGCAGGTGCATGTGTGAACTGGAGATGTTCAAAGTCCCTTTACCACCTGTACTGAGTGGTGCTCCACAAAGTTTGTCTCCAATATAACTAGCAGTGGTGGTTGTTGATTCTTGTATTCATTTCTTTCTTCTTTTTTGGGGGCTCCAGGCTCCCCGATTTCAATCTCGGGGCAGGCCAAGTCCGTGAACCTGCGCCGTTCCGCCAATTGGACCGAGCACTTCGTGCGCGGCCGCCTCGCGCTGCGGAGTGGAGACCCCGAGGCCGAGAGGATGCCGGAGACCTGGGCCTTCGCGGTGCAACCGAAGTGCTTTGTGGCCATGGCCTGGAGAGAGGCGTGGGTTTTCAGGTGAGGTTTTTGACGAAGGCATGGCCACTAAGAGTCACAAAACGGATGTTGTAAGCCTCAACCAACAAACATGTTTGCAGTAGCAAGAACGCTACTAGGAGCAAAGGGCATCGCTACTAGGAGCAAGA